ATTGCGTGGCCGAGGTCTTGGCATTATAGAACCTGACGTTTTGCCAGTAGCTGTGACTGGCATCCTCAGAGGTATATGGATTGTTTCCTGATTGTTACAAAAGAACCTCCGCAGGAAAGCTCCTCCATTAGCATGTTCATAGCCTGGGGGACTCCTACAAGATAATGACTCCGCCCTACCCCACCTTCTGGAGTAGATATAAATTACCTGCCTACCATTTTTCTTCTCACCTTGGCACAGAGAGTGCTCCATCTTTCTGTGTTATACCTCTGAGGATGCCAGTCACAGTTACTGGCGAAACGTCAGGTTCTACAATGCCAAGACCACAGCCGCACAACCTGGAAAATCTACAGCAACTAATGGACTTTGTTCCTTTAACATTACACAGAGAGTGCTCCATCTTTCTGTGTTATACCTCTGAGGATGCCAGTCACAGTTACTGGCGAAACGTCAGGTTCTACAATGCCAAGACCACGGCCGCGCAACCCGGAAAATCTACAGCAACTAATGGACTTTGTTCCTTTAACATTTAGTTCCAGCTCCAGATACAGATTGCAGAGAATGCCAGCAAACACCACTACACCCTGTTTCTGGCTTTGTTTGCTCCTAAGTTACTGTTTCCCAGAACTGCCTACGGGTCTGGCTGCCCTTTTAGTTCTGTACTTGCTTTAAAAAAATGTTTCTTCTTGCATACTCATATCCCTTCCCTTCTCCTCTGCTGGGATACCACACTTTCTCCCCCTTAATCCTGGCATGCACATTCACACCCACAACCCCTTTTCAGCTCAGCCCCTGTAGGCAGGAATGACTACACAACGGCAAAAATCATGTACCCCTTTGACAGACTAATGTGATCTTTTACGATGCATTAGACAAAAGGATTACGGCCAGCAAGTGTGATTTATTAGTTATCCTGCCACTGTGGATGTAATGCAATAGTAGAAACCAAGAGAGGTTCACGATCACAGTGCGCAAGAAAGATTCTTTTTATGTCAATGCTATGCCATTACTGAGGCTGTGTTCACACGAGCAAAGAAAAACTGTATAGGTACCAGTGTTCCCTCTAAGCTGAGTTGGTGTGAGCTAGCTCACAGTTTTTTAGCCTGCGGCTCACACAGTTTTTGTCTTAGCTCAGGGAGGATGGCTCCAGAGCAAACTAATTGATCCAATAGCCAAATCGCTGGCTCACCACTTTAATGCCAGTAGCTCACAATGGAGAATGTTTGCTCACAAGATTCCACAGCTTAGAGGGAACATTGATAGGTACTTCTGAAAACCTAAGACCTTCCTTCTACATTGCTCATACACACTTCTGTGTGAAGGAAAGGAATTGCACCCCGCCCACACACACACACACACACAACTGGTGTAAGTGAATCCGTGTGTGCAAGATGCTTCAATGTGAGATGCAAGACTGAACTGCACCTCAGGGGAAGATGCATGCCACATTACAGTGGAAACCTTACTCAGACTTTCCCATAATGGGAGAAAACACCCTTCCTGATGAAAGGAGACAGGCGCACTGTAAAAGAGGCTAAACATTTTATAAACATTCATCACCGAGATAAGAGCTTTGGTGTAACACTGTTGGAATTTGTGGACAAGACGTAGAAGTCTTTAAGGCAAAACAAAGGCCTATGACATTCATGATGCTACTCAACTGAGCACCTTGAAAAGTAGAACTACTTAAAAGCACTGCTAGCACTTGATTTGCTTGTCTTAAAATGTTTTAAATGTTTGGTGTGGATTTTATGGTACCTTGTGCCGATTAATGTAAGCCCTGAGCCTGATCGCGGGGAGGGCAAGTTATAAATGGAATGGATAAACAAACAAACAAACAAGCTGGATATTTCAAAAATACTTCACTGATCATTCATGTACTTTTTTCAACAACAACAACCACAAAAAAGCTGGATAGTAACACCCCCTAGAAATAAAGCGTCATTTTCTATTAAAAATACTTTTTTCCAAAAATAAACTCTCCGTTTCAATGGAATACTCTTAAGCTACGGGCAAAGGTTTGAACATAACAGAAACGCTCCACACAGCAACGTTCATTTCCATGACCTACTATGAACAAACATTCGCTTTTCTGACCTACAATGAACTCTAGTTCAACCAGTCACACAGATTTTCAAAGCACTATAAAAATCAGACAAACATATGTGTAACTGTTGCTCCGGTCATTGTATCTTTGATTCTCCAAAGTCTGGATTTGGTACACAGAATTTCTTCATGTACCCACTGATGAAACTTAATTTACATCTAACTTTCTGGGCACTGTATGAAAGGGGGGGGAAGCAGTACAGACACTGGACTCCATGAACACACACCTAACAGGGGGGACCTTCCCCCAACTATACACCTTAGGACAGTGGTGGCGAACCTATGGCACGGGCGCCAGAGGTGGCACTCAGAGCCCTCTCTGTGGGCACCCCTGCCATCTCCCCAGCCAGGCCCAGACCATCATTAAAGTGTCGAATTCTCTGCCAAATAATTTTAAGTAATGAAAGCATTTGGGATTGCTTTCCTTACTTTGTTTTGGGTCATCTTAAGTTAATGTTATGAGTTGTTTTTTCTAAAGTAAAACCTCAGTATCCAGGTTTGATTGCCGTGTTGGCACTTTGCGATCAATAAGTGGGTTTTGGGTCGCCGTTTGGGCACTCGGTCTCTAAAAGGTTCGCCATCACTGCCTTAGGAGGAAAACATTTCTCTTATCCCTCCTTTTGGCTGTCCAAAATAAAGAAACATCTAACTTTCTAGGCACTGTATGAAGAGGGGGAGCAGTACCCATGAACACACACCTAACAGGGGGGGGGAACCTTCCCCCAACCATACACCTTAGGACAGTGGCGGCGAACCTATGGCACTCGGTCTCTAAAAGGTTCGCCATCACTGCCTTAGGAGGAAAGCATTTCTCTTATCCCTACTTTTGGCTGTCCAAAATAAATAAAAGGCACGTTATTCTAACGGTATAGGTTACACTGATGCATGCTACAAAAACAAATTCTGATCAATGGAGGTTTGGGTAGTCACTGCCATCACTGCCTTAGGAGGAAAACATTTCTCCTATCCCTACTTTTGGCTGTCCAAAATAAAGAAAAGGCAGGTTATTCTAACGGTATAGGTGACGCTGATGCTACAAAACAAATTCTGATCAATGGAGGTTTGGGTAGTAGCTTGAGATGGCCTGGGTAACTGTTGGAGGTGCAATAATAATAAAGGAACATTCTTACATATCTGGTGGAAATGTGAGAAAATACAAAGATTCTGGAAAAGTATTAAGCAACTGATAAAAGACATCACAGAAATAGATCTACCCTTAAATCCAGAAATCTTTTTTATTAAATATTACACCCAATGGTATTAAATATAATGAAACATGTATTACTGTATACCTAATTACAATGGCATACAGAAAAGCAAGCCATACTTTCTTCTGCACCGCGTTAGATTCAGACTGGCGACGAAGACGGGCGGCCGCGCTCCGAAAGGAGCCGCTGCGGACTTGGCTCCCGGTCTCCTCCTCCGTCCACGCGGCGCAGCAGCACCTTGAGCCGCTCCCTCCGAAACAAACCTTCCCCTCCCTAACCTTGAAGAACCCCCCCAACCCAAGAAGGGAACCCGTTTCCCCTTCTGACGTCGAAGCAGAAAGCAGGCTGGTTTGCAGAGAGGCAGGTCAGGAGGACGCAGCGTTCCCTCGAAGCTGAGTGAGTGTGAGCTAGCTCACGGGTTTTTTTTAGCCTCCGGCTCACACTTTTTTTTTTAATTTATTTTTTTATTTATTTATTCGCTTGGGATTTATATCCCGCCCTACGCAGTGTTCCCTCTAAGCTGAGTGGGTGTGAGCCAGCTCACATTTTTTTTTAGCCTCCGGCTCACACTTTTTTTAAAAAAAAAATTATTTTTTTATTTCTTTATCCGCTTGGGATTGATATCCCGCCCTACCCAAGCGGCTCAGGGAGGAGGGGCTCCAGAGCAAGCTAATTGATGCAGCATAGCCAAATCCCTCGCTCACAACTTTAATGCCAGCGGCTCACCAAGTAGAATTTTGGCTCACCAGACTCTACAGCTTAGAGGGAGCGTTTGGGGGAGGAAAGCCCGCCCGCGTCTCTTGCATGCGCCGCTCCCTACAGTTCCAAGACCCAAAGCTGCGGAAAGAAGCGCCAGCCAGAGCCACTTTCCTTTGTTGCCCGGCCGGGTGGGCGCCTTCCCTTTCTCCCCGGCCCCTGGCACTTGCTCGCCCCAAGAAGCTCGGACCCCCACCCACCCACCTACCCACCTTCTCCTCGCGATCCGGGTGGTCTTCCCTGGGTGGCCGACGGGAGAGCCCTCTTCCCAAAGCGCAGCGCCGAGGACGCCAACAACCGCGGAGGCGCCTGCAAAGACCCCTCCCAGTTCCCGGCTCCCAGCAGCTGCGTCGATGTTGTTAACTCTTTGCAGAGACTCCGGGCGGGCTCGGAGACCGGCCGGGGACGCCTAGCGGAAGGACGGGAGCATTACCCCCTCGGCGGAGAGCGGAGAGGCAGGAGCACCGTCGGAGGAAGGCACGACCACTAGGCGGACTTTTTTTGTCGTTCAGTCGCACAGTCGAGTCCGACTCTTCGCGACCCCATGGACCAGATCGCGCCAGGCCCTCCTGTCTTCCGCCGTCCTCTGAAGTTGGCTCAATTTCGTGTTTGTTGCATCTATGACACTGTCTAACCATCTCATCCTTTGCTTTGATCCTTAGCTAATGATCTTTGAAGGTCTTCTTTGACCTTAAGAACATAAGAACATAAGAGATGCCAATGTTGGATCAGGCCAAAGGCCCATCCAGTCCAACACTCTGTATCCCACAGTGGCCAGAAATACCAGTGCCATCAGGAGGTCCACCAGTGGGGCCAGGGCATTAGAAGCCCTCCCACTGTTGACCCCCCCCCCAAGCACCAAGATGACAGAGCATCACTTGCCCCAGAGTCCCTATCTATACCTTGTGGCTAATAGCCACTGATGGACCTCTGCTCCATATGCTTATCTAATTCCCTTTTGAAGCTGTCCATGCTTGTAGCCGCCACCACTTCCTGTGGCAGTGAATTCCATGGGTGAATCACTCTTTGGGTGAAGAAGGACTTCCTTTTATCCGTTCTAACCCAACCGCTCAGCAATTTCATGGAGTGCCCACGAGTTCTTGTATTGTGAGAAAGGGAGAAAAGTACCTCTTTCTCTACCTGCTCTTTCCCATGGATAATCTTATAAACCTCAATCATGTCACCCCTCAGCCGTCGTTTCTCCAAGCTAAAGAGCCCTAAGCGCCTTAACCTTTCCTCATAGGGAAAGTGACCTTACCCTTTTATCATTCGAGTTGC